GCTGATCTAGCAGTAGCCTGCAGTGCTGCATTTAACCACTGCGCCACCTTGGCTCTGGTGGAAGATGGTGGAAGAGGAGGGGGTGTGGCCCGCCAGTGGAGCTGGCGGCAGACTCAGACAGTGGGGAGGTTGGGGAGGAACATGGGCCAGTCCGTAGGATGGTAGAGGACAGGAAGGCCTGGAGGAACGTGGTCCATGGGGTCGCGATGGGTCGGACACGACTTCACAACTAACAACAAAAAAAACCCCTCTCCTTCCTAGCAGCCGTGCTCTGCTATTTTATTTTATATAACAGTCCCAAACTGGATGTTCCGCTCACAAATTGCTCCGTCATCCCCAGCATACGTCCAAATTATCCCCCTTGGGTAATTACCACCAATTTAAGAACTACTGGACTAAAGGCGAGCGACAGGGGAAGGAGGGGAGGTAGGGATGGGAACAGCCACCGGGCCATCCATCGTAATCGTCAAGGAAAAAGCTGAGCATCTGCTTGTGGTCAAAGGTGCTGTTTCAAGGCTGATGCTGAACAGCAAAGATGTCTCCAGGTGATTAGGTAGAGTGCCCTGAGCAAGCAGTACCACGCTAGGTGACAAGATGTCAAACAGGGAGCGGCGTTGGAGAATGCAAATACGATATGTATATTATCTTCCGCCAGCCTCAAGTTGTCACTTACCAGTCCAATACTATTAGGATCTGCCTTTCTTTGATGAGAGAGAGGGGGGGAGGGGGAGGGAGAGGGAGGGTAGGAGAGAAAGAGAGGAAGATGGAGGGAGGGGGAGAGAGAGATAAGGAGATGGAGGGAGGGGGAGAGAGGGAGGGGGCAGAGGAAAGAGAGAGAGAGAGGGAGGCAAAGAGAGAGGGTAGGAGATAGGATGGATGTTGTAGATGCAGGATTTTCTTCCAGCTGTTTTTTGAGGAACAGATCCTAGTGGGGGAGATGTGATTAAAAAATGCAAACATTTAACCACTGTCCAAAGGATTAGAAGTGGGTTTAAATAGCCAGAGAGAGGGATGCCTTTTTATCACTGTTGTACAAATAGTCCTTGACTTATGACCAATCATTTAGTGACCATTCAAATTTATGATCTACACAGTAAAAAGGGGACTTTGGACCTACTTGTGAAGTTCTGATGGTCCAGCACCTCCTGTGGTTATGTGATTGCACTTTAGATGCTTGGCAACATGACTTCACGACCGTTTGCAGTGTCCCACAGTCCCATAACTCTTATTTTATGATGGTTTTGCCAAAAACTGACATTTACTCCCATTTTGAACAAAAACTATGCCATAGCAAATACTGGGTTCGCTTAATGACCGCAGCGTTCGTTCAAGGACAACAGCATTTGCAGTCACGACCACTGTGTTTGTTTAACGACTGTGGGAAAAACATCATAAAATCTGTCACATCACTGACCCATTTTATGGCCATGGTGATTTACGACTGTAGTGGGTCGGTTCCCGTATGGTTGTAACTTGAGGACTACCTGCCTATCGAATGAAGAAGAAAAATTTTTTTTGCAGAATCTTTCCTGTTCAAACCGAGAGTTGTGGAGGAGCCAAACTTTTAGATTCTTTGGTGTAGACTCCAGTAGGACTACATGTGTTAATACTTTTCTCTCACATTCTCCCAAGACTTCTTAAATTCCACCGCTGCTGAAAACTTGTGGAAGAAAAATGTTTTATTGCTGACAGAAATGTGAAAATAACGCAGGGCAAGAAATACAGACAAGCTTCCAAAAATTTATGAGAGCTGAAGGCACTCTTGGGACACATAGCCTTACTTAAACAGAAGTTCCTTGCTTCATTCATTCGTTCCTTTATTCCCTTTCTTTTTTTTAACAGTATTAGCAATTTATTTGAACAACTCCTGGCGGCTTCCTGAAGATGTAATGAAGACGTCTGATCCTTTCCGGAAAGGCCTGAAACAGGTGAAAACATCATTTAAACCAGGGATCTCCAAACTTGGCAACTTTATGACTGTTTAAACCTCACTTCAGATTTTTTTAAGCCAGACCACTTATTCTTCTTAAAAAATAATGATGGATTCCTGGGCGTCTTCAGCTTACGACTGCAATTGAGCTCAGATTTTCTGTTCCTAAGTGACACGGGGAATTTTGATGACCTTTCTTGCCACAGTTGTGATGTGAATCCTTGCATATGTTAAAACGTTAGTCACATGGTTCTTAAGTGAATCCGGCTTCCCCTGGCTTGGCAGAAGGTCGCAAAAGGGGATCACGTAACCTCGGGACACTACGACCGTCACAAATGTCTGCCGGTTGCCAAGTGTCCGAAATTTGATCACAGGACTGTAGGGATGCTGCAACGGTTGTAAGTGTAAAAAATCATTCTTTTCAATACCGTTGTCACTTCAAATGGTCACTCTGTTGTAAGCAGGGGTGGGATTCAGGCGGTTTGCACCAGTTTGGGTGAACCGGGTGCTAATTTTGCCTCTGGTTTGCTGAACTGGTAGTTGGAAGGACTGGCTGGCCCCTCCTACCCCTCCCCTCCCTGGAATCTCCACGCGGCCCATTCATCATGCGCGGAGGCTCTGAGACGGCGAAAAACGGGCCTTCCGGAAGTCTGGAAACAGGCCTGTTTTGGTCCCCGGAGGGCCTTCAGAGCCTAGGGGAGGCCATTTTTACTCTCCCGAAGGCTCGAAAAAAACCTCCAGGAGCCTGGGGAGGATGAAAACGCCTCCCACCCCAGTGATGCAGAGGGCCAAGTAGGCCATGCCGCCTCCCCCATGGCCACACCCACCCAGCAAATGGGCAGAGAACCGGTTGCTAAAAATTTTCAATCCCACTCCTGGTAGTAAATCAAGGACTGCCTGCATTCTTTGTGCTGTCTTATATCTCCTCATCTCACTTGCCTTTCAAGGTTCAAACCTTTCAAGAGAGAATCGTTCTCTACGTCCTTAACTGCATCATTTTTGGCATGTTGGAGAGGAGCTCGACTGACGATACAGTCTTCGTTCCGCATCCTAAGAAGGAAGATGCCAGAATATTCTGGAAGAGTGGAGAAGCGGCGGCTTTTTATACCATCAAAAGAAGAGGTACGTCTTTTCTGATGGCCCTTCCCAACTCTTAAGCGTGTTTATAAGAGTCAAAAAGAACCAGACTACTTTGGATGCTCCTATCTTGGCGGAGTTAAATAAATACATTTTAAAAACTTCTAGCCGATAATCCGACATGGCCAGGGTAATTATAGGGGGAAAATGTCCAGACTAAACATTATTTCTAATGTTGGATTTTCCCTCTTACCAGAGGGATCCTCCTTGTGTAGTACTGTGAAGCCATTACCATGGCAACTCCACTGTACTGCACAATAGAAGCCATTTTACAGTAGTACAGTAGAAGCCCTTTTAAGGCACAACAAGCTGTATCTTAACAGAACACCTGCCCCCTCTTAAGGAGCATGAGGGGCGTCTTATCTCCTACAATATTTTTTTCCCAGAGAGTAAGTCATCTGTGTACCAAGTTTGGTAGAAATTGCTCAAGGTGTTTTATATATATATATATATATATATATATATATATATATATAT